CCGTTCGGGCAGCCCTGTAACCTCCACGCAACTTTTAACTGGCAAAGGCTCTTTAGAAACTGTAGTGGGTTTTCTGAGTCTTGGTTCAGTCTGCGGCTTTTGTCTTTGAAAGCAGTTTAACTCAGTAATGCAAGTGCAGCAGAAACTTCTGAGGAACTCGCCAAGTCCTGTCTTTGAGAAATGTTTTTGACTTGTCTATGTGATTAAATCTAGACACCTGAAAATCTACTAGTAAAGGTGGAGACCTCCAGGAAGCAAAAATAAGTCTATTGACAAGACTTCTATCATAGTGGGTTTGATGGACTTCTTGGGGTTAATGCAGACATCGCTTCCTGTTAGCCCTGGGGTCTGCCTGCCACAAGCTGAAATCACTGCCTTGAGGGACTGTTAGTACAGAAATAACTTTAAACAAATGTGTGTGTAAAGGTAAGATTGGTAATTTTTCTATGTAGTTAACTTTTTATTTTATTTTGGTTTTAATCAAATAAATTATAGGGGGAAAAAATTCTTCACATAAGACAGTAGATGATCAGAAGGAAGGAAAATACATGTTGAGACAATTCAGTAGTTATGGCAAAGGGTAAGAAGAAAGATGGCAAGAAGGCAGAAAAATCTGCACGTCTTCCTATTCCTGCACAAGATGTTAAAGCTGAGAGTAGTTCAGTAAAGCTGACAGATTTGAAGACGTCAGTGAATGAAATGGAAGAAACACAGGCAAATCCAGTTATGTCGGATAAAGAACCAGAGGAGGTAGAGGAACCTCCAGTCCAAGATGTTCCTCAATGCTACGAGGAGCGTGTTCTTGCTGAAATTATTGTAAAAAGGTATGCTTGTTAGATGAGTGACATCCGTGATTCTCATTTAAGTATTTCTGGTGTACCCAGTGTCCTACAGACATGAATTTGACTCATGATTTGAGGCAGTGAATCAGGTTATTCAGACCTAGTAACTGTGACACTTTACAAAGCTGACACATGGAATTCTGCTGTCTTCTTGCATCCCAGAGTGTTAACTGGCACTCTCTGCCTGCCAAAAGCCTGATTCTGTTATCTTATCTACACTGTTATCTACAGTGAAGTTTGTCTTAAGTATACAGGCAGTTGGTGAGGAAAATGTGACTATATCATTTAATGTTCAGTTGTTGCTGCCTTTTAATATTTAGGCCTGCTCCTATTTCCTTAAGAATATCCCAAACCAAGAATACATAAAGAAAGAATAAAGAATAGTGTTAACCAGATCATTTGCCAGTTTGAGGGGAATGTATGTAAACTTTTCACACACTCACCAGGTTGCCTGGTTGTCAGCTAGTAAATGCTGCCAGTGTGATTTGTTTTCCTAATTGAAAGAAATATGGGTCTGAGACAACACAACAGTTACGTAAAGTATTACAAGGAAGGTGGAAAAACTATGAACTTTTGTTATTGCTCATTTTTCTACACGAGCTGCAATAACTGGTCTATGTCTAGACCATGGTAAATCAAAGGTCATTTATTGTGTGTCTGTTGTGATTCAAGTAGCTACTGGCAGTGACTTTGTTTTCCTTGTAGATACGAAGGTGAAAAAGTCTGTGGATCGTATGAGGGTGAAGGATTTGCATATTTTGAGGGAGGAAATACATATAAGGTGAGTATAAATGAAGTAGTAAGGGGTCAAGTTCTTTCTCTAGAACAGGGAGGCTGTTTCTATTAAGGCAGGTGGAGGTTGAGCACTCAGAATGTGTAAGCATTGAAAGCTCTGTTGTTTTCTGGCATTAAAACTTCATTTGAAACTAGTGGTTGGAGGGGAATGAATATGTCATTATTTTAAAATATTACAGTCACCGTAAGCTTCAGTTGTGCTAAGAATAAATTTGCAAATGATGCTGTTCTCTTCATTTTGAAGGGCACGTTTTCTGGAGGGTTTATGCATGGGCAAGGCACTTACACATGGGCTGATGGAGTGATGTATGAGGTAAAGTGCAATTTAACTTACAACTGAACGCAGTTACAGCAAATTAGGTATGCAAATTCAAGGAAAGTAGATAAGTTACTGTAATTGGTACAGTATGGGTAGCAACTACAGAAGTTCTTCAATGATTTCAATTACAAGCCTGACTTGTTCCACTGTTGTGGAACAGTGAATCTGAGCTTTTTAGATGTTGTAATTTAATCTTTCAGGGAGTGTTTGTTAAGAATGTGCAGATGTTTAATGGCCGTTACACGTGGAGTGATGGCAGCATTTATGAAGGAGCAATCAAGGACGGAATGAGGCACGGATTCGGATTTTACAGGAGTGGCACATGTCCTGTGTCTTACATTGGCTATTGGTGTAAAGGCAAAAGACATGGAAAGGTAAGAACACCAAGTGAGAGCATGGTCTTGGATGACTACCTTCTAGAACAGCAAGCACTCTTGCACAAAGGTCTTGCAGAAATATTTTGTGCTGTATCATGGTCGTACACTATGTAGAGATTAATTTTTTCTTCTTCTGTGAAGTCATGAGTGTCAATTAAAACAACTGGGGAGAGTTCTTTTTTGTAGCAGAAGGGATGAACGGTATCCTGAAAGAGAATTGGTCTGTTATGTGGTTTGTCCTTTATGCTGCTCCAGGTAGTTGATGACAAAGTCAAAACTGGTGTCTGCATCAGTAGCCACATAACAATGACAGAACAGTTATCTTCCCAGTAACGACAGAGTGAGCCTACCTCCCAAATGTGTTAAGCAGACCAAATAAGAAAGTTCCTGTATATAAGGCAGTCTTAATTGTGAGTAACATCTAGTTCCAGCTTTTTAAAGGCAAGTAGCACTTTTATCTGTCTCTGATTTGTGCATCCAGATTAACACACTTTTCTGGGCCTGACGTTTTGAAGACGGATGGTCAGCATGTGAAGAAAATCCATTCTGATCATGTTTATTTGTTCTGTGACACTAAAATCACACAGGCTACTCTGTGTGGGCACCAGTGAAGTGGTCTGACCAGTTATAATATAAATATTATATTTTTATTATATATAAATTTTATATCAATTATATAATTTTATATATACATATACACACATATTATCTATACAGAACAGTTAACACTGTAGACCTACTGTTGTAAGCTGAGTTCTGAATGAGTCAGAGAACAGATCTACCTCAGAGTAACTACTGAGATAAAGTTGCCAAACTTAGGTCACTGAAGGTGTTTCAAAGTAGTTTGAGAGACATGTAGGTTTTGCTGTACTGTGATTTTAAAAAAATAATTCTTTTTTAAGGTCTTAACTAACAATAAGAAACCAACCTCTTTAAATTAATATATCATTTTTGTTGCTTACATTAGAATGTCTTAAAATGACTGTAAGTAAAAGAGTAATTATGTGTGTCTTACATAATTTGCATGCAATGTTTTATTAACGTAGATGAATATTTAGGTATTTAAATTGACTGTACTGTTTGTTTCAGGGTACCATGTATTATGATCAGGAACATACTTCTTGGTATTCAGGCGACTGGGTAAATAATATCAAAGAAGGATGGGGAATGAGATGGTAAACATGATGACACTTGTTCTTATCTTCTTTTTTTTAAAAAAATTATATGTATAATCATACAATTTGTCCTATTTAAAATAGATGCAAATACTACCATATCATAGTAGTGTGTACTTTCTGCAGTGGAGTAAATAATTGTACAGAGTGCTTTAATAGACCTTTTCTGTAACTTACGTTTTTATGTGGGTATATTTCTAGTGATCATTCCCACCAGAAAATGTGTAAAGACAAAACCCAAAATCAGCTTTGATAAACCACAAATAAATATTTAAAAAATAAAGTCATTTGATTTGAATAGATGGGGCTGCTTTCATGAATATATGAATTATTTTTGGAATTAGATACAAAACAGTATTTTGATCAAAGACCCTTTGGGGAAAAAAAAAAAAAGAACTGGTTAATATTTTTACAGTGATTTGTAAGTTAAAAATAGGGGGTAAACAGTGGGTACAATCAAACCTCTGTATCCATGTCACAGCGAGCCAGCTTTCAAACTAATGCTGATATTAAGCATTAATAAATGCTGAATTTGTTAGTAGTGAAATTTTACATAAAGTTTGCTTTCATAAGGTCCACTCAGAATTTAGTATGAATGAGTCATTAACTTTTACTGTTTTCTTGCAGCTACAAGTCTGGAAATATCTATGAAGGTCAGTGGGAGAAAAATGTACGTCATGGAAAAGGAAGAATGAGATGGTTGACAGCTAATCAAGAGTACATGGGGCAGTGGGTGTATGGCATACAGGTATTAATTCGTTCCCCAGCAATCTCTTTAGTACAGCATCTGTGCATTACTCTAGTGAAACTAGATAGGAAGTTTTGTGCAGTATCAAAGGAGATTGGTATAGTTTTTTTCAGTTGAGATGGGGGAAATATGCTGTTTATTGTAAGTTGATTCTTTTGTAAGCAATGTTCTGATTTTTAAAAAGCTTTTGACTTAGTCTCACAGAATCATAATTCAGTTATCTAATGGAAAATAGAAAGCTTTTTCATTAACAAAAATGTGATTATACTTAGTATGAGATACGACTTCAGCAGTGAGTATATGTGGGAGTTTGCTTCTTTGTCACTTGTAAAATACTAGACCACGATGTTCCCTCTTGTAAAAGTTTAATGATGAAAGAAGACTTGTGGCATTTTCTGTTCCTTCCATTAATTATTCTGTTGCAAAAAGAATGTGAGCTACTTGCTCTGTGTTTTCACTCTGAATGAAGTTGTCAAGGAGTCCAGCTTCTGGAATATCATGGCTCTGTCTGCCATGGTGTTCCTCACCTGGCTGTCCAGCATTGTAGTCAAAAGACTTCATGCAGGAAGGATGTCTTTAGGAGTCCTTTTCGTGGAGCTTGCTCAAGTGTGTGTTGATTCATTGCACCCTCTGAGTGCTTCTCCAGCACACCTTAGTAGTATACAGTTCTGTGGATGGTTTGAAGTACTGAAGCTATCAACTTGAGAGATTTGCTAACAGGGACTGTTAAAGATGCCTGTGTGGTTCTCCTTTTTAAAAGTCTGGACCTGTAGCAATAGTAGCTCTTCTGGAGAATTTTTTTTAAACACACATTTTTTTTCAGCATGGACATGGCACCCATGTGTGGTTTTTGAAGAGAATGCCTGCATCTCAGTATCCTGTAAGGAATGAATACACAGGTGACTTTGTAAATGGGGAGCGGCAGGGACGCGGGAGGTTCGTGTATGCCAGTGGAGCAATGTACGATGGTGAATGGTTTGGTAACAGGAAGCATGGCCAGGTGAGTACTGACAAGTGCTGAGACAAAACTACAGACAACACCAGAAGAGACTATGCTGCTCTGTGTAGTGGATCTGTAGATTTCTGTACAGAAAAGTAAATTCATTTTGCATTGTGGATGGAAGCCCAACATAAAGCACAGAGTCCACTGAAAGCAGTAGGAGTCCTTCCAAGCACCTTGCTGGGCCAGATTTGATTCCATGGTTAGATGTGTTGTGCGTATGGAGAAACGTGTTTTCCTGTGGAGATTGTCAGTGCAATAGATGCATCTTGATATTTGCAGTGGTTGATCAGTGTTTCACTCACACTGTGAGCTAATGGTTTCCAAGTTATCCTTGCACAGAGATGTTCTCAAATTAACAGACTTTTAAAAAAAACTGTGAGCAGGGTGACACATAAGTAAACTAAGGATTGCAAAAAGGTCTTTATGGGGAGTGGAAAATGTTTTTCTTTAAAATAGTTTTCAAAATCAAACAGATATATAGGCAATTCTTCATCCTAACTGTGTACTTTAATTAACAGATGGCAAGGTACATTAGAAGAGACGTTAGGAAAATTATTTTGCTTAACTTTATCATAGATATTACAATTTAGCTAAGATTCTTAAAAGGAATTTTGATAGCATTAGTGTTATTTTTGTTTGGTCTTTGATTTATATTTGTATTGAAATTGAATTAATTGAATCCAATTAATCTGTCTGTAGGGCAAGTTTGTCTCCAAGAATGGTCATGTTTATGAAAGAGAGTTCATAGACGATCGTGTAGTGGAATGTCCCCCGACCCGAGCGGACGCAACGAATGCAAAAGAGCTGAATGCCATTTGCACAGGAAGTCATTTTGGCGTTGGTAAGCAGCTTAAAAAAACAAATTCTACTCAGGCCACGTTTTGTTGTTCCTTTTTACTGTAATGTGAACCTCTTTGTATTTAAGAGCCAGAGATATTTCTACAGTGAACTTTGATAAAGATGGGAGTTAATGGCTTTTGCTTCCATTCCTCTTGTTTCCTGTGCGTAACACTTTGAATTGAGTGACACGTACACACTGTGTCTTGTAGAGCTTTTGGAACACTGTTTTCTGAAAGTTTTATAATTTATGTAATACTTGCTTTTGGCTAGGGGTTGGGTTTGACAAAACTACTTTCAGAATCTTGGAATGTATTACTTTGGAGGGGACCACTAAAGGTTATCTAATCCAACCCCCCTGCAATAAGCAGAGACAAATTACTCTTCAGTTGTTACACTGTTGATTATGAAATCTCTCACTGTAAAGGAGTCTTATTATGAAGTGAAGTCAGTAAAATAAGAAAGAATAGTGTATGTTCTATTTTTCCTATATGTGTATATATTTTTAACTTAATTTTCTAATTTATTTTATTTGCATGGTAGAAGATAACACAGTCATTGATTGCTCAGGAAATACTTCTATTTTGGGATCAGATATTGAGTTGGTTATATCTTCACTGCTTGATTTGTTGCCAAGGGAAGAGAGACATGAAGAACTGAAACAAGTAAGAGTCTACTGTTTGTTATTTTCAGTTTTCATCTGCAATGTGTTTCGTATTTTATTTCTAGTTTATTTGTATTAAAGTAACTCTTTTTCTAAAAGTTACTTTTAGGAAGTTTTACTTTTTACTAGTTACTTTTAAGAAGTAATTAATTTTTCTTAATTAAGGAATTATTTGGAAATTTGAAGGCCATGAAAACAGAAAAGCAAAAAGAATGAATAGACAGTATTGGCTCTTCCTGTGCTTCCACAGAAGACAATTAAAAACGTTAACGTATTTGGAAGAACTTTCAGCAACTACCTTTTAGCTTCTTTGTGGTTTGCCTGCTCTCAGAGACTAATTTATTATCAGTCACCAAAAAATAAGTAGCATAACTACCCTTGAGTAATGCTCTCATGATTGCTTAACCAGGGATATGCTTCTTGAAGTTACAAGACTCAAAGCAATACATGCACACCTACAGGATCAATACAAGCTGACCTCTGCTTGCTGTGAGATGGTGCTGAAAACATATCCTGCTTTATTTAGGTAGAATTTGCTGTGTTGAGGTATATTACAGAACTGAGAAGAATTTACACCTTCTACAGCAGATTAGGCTGTGATCATTCTTTCGACAACACCTACCTCATGACTAAGCTCCAGTTTTGGAGATTTTTGAAGGACTGCCGGTTTCATCACTCCAACTTAACTCTTGCTGAAATGGATCGGCTATTGAGCGGTTGGTATTTCTGTTGGTGGGAGTCTAGAGCCTAGGAATTTTAATAATAAGCTGTGGAGAGCTGGAGTGGCAAGTTCTGCTAGTAGCTCAACTCTGGTAGTTGGGTGGCCCTGAGCAAGTTCCTCTGAGCCTGTGAGTTCTCAGAGGATGCATTAATGTTTCTCCAGGCACTTCAGATGCTCAGGTGAGAAAATGCAAAATTAAAATACCACTTCAAAAATTATTCAAGAGCCATCTGTTCAAAAATTGTATTCACCTTGCTTTTGCCATTACTGTTACATGTAGTTTTAAGAGATCTCAGAAGAAACAAATAGTTTGCCTTCCCCCCCACCATTGTTCTTAACTTCTGGTTTCCATGTAGTATTTTTATGGGTTTGTGGTTTGTTTTCTTGTTTATTTTTTTTGTGGGGGTGGGTGGGTTGGTTCGTTTGGTTTTTCTTCCATAGAACCAATTAACTCGGTTCCATTTAGATGTGCAGTGGGATGTACTACAGTGTCCATAGTATGTGAACAGTTTACTCCAGCTTCACTTCACCCTTCATTCCTCTATACTGTGTGGATGCATTTCTAGAAGGAGAGAATTTTATAAGATACAGGTGTAGGTGGATGGTTCTCCCTTGACCTGCTTGTTTGGAAGTGATGCTGTGTCTGGTCTGATTTCTTCCAGGAGTGTTGTTACACTGCAGTATGTGGAGATGTAGAGGATCAGAAAGGCTGAGAAGTCAGTGTGCCTATAAGCATTTTAATGTACATGATAGCAATAGAGATTTTTCTTTTTCACATTTTTAGATGATAAAACACCACTTGAGGAGATACATTGCCCGTATGAGACTTTACTGTTCAGAACATTTTTATCTTACCTTGTTCGTCTAGCATTTCATATCTATCATGAAGAGCACCAGTAAGTTTCATCTTTTAGTGACATTTATTTCAGTGTAGTCAGTTTGAGTCTTCCCAGACAAGAGTGTTTTTGTTTCAACTGCAGAGAGAAGAGTCCTTATCTGCATAAGTGTTTCTTGGAATTCCTGCTGCCTGTCACGTCCAAGGTAAGTAATGGTGTTTCTTCTGTGCTGTGCAGAATTCATCAGTTAGTACCACATACATCACAGTTTTGTTGTAACATGTTTTCCAAATCAATATTTAAAGGTATCTTGTTTTCTGAAGAACGATGTACAGCTTTTGCCTTGAGCTACATTGACAAATGCTGGGAAATCTACAGAGCTTTTCGTAGACCGAGTACCAGACCTCCCTGTGAACCCACAATGAAAATGAGGCACTTCCTTTGGATGTTGGATGTAATAATCTGTTGTTTTTATCTTTTGTGATTAGATCTTAGATTTTTGGGCTTTATTCATTCAGTTGATAGGAGCATTTTAAAATATTCCCTGTATCTTCTGAAGAGCTGTAAAGATAGGAGAAAAGTTATTTGTGCAAACTGTCCAATAACTCTTACAGGGACAGTTGTTCCACAGAAATTAGTTATGTACTTATGCAGGATCAAATTCCAGTTTGGTATTTGATCATTTCAAATAATCAAATCTTAGACAAATGTATTTTAAGGGTATATAATTTTTTTTTTTTTTTTTTCTGGCTTACCCCACCCTGTATAATGTGCATACAGATATGTCTTATTTGTAGAAGAAGATTGGCAGCTTTGGAAATAACACAAAAAAACATTTTAGTCATGTATTAAATTAGGATAAGGTAGGGTAAACATGAGATTCTTCACTAAAATTCAGTAATTCAGGGACAAATCAAGATTGCACTTAAGATGGGGAACAGTGCCCATTGATATGTCTGGATTTTGGGTCACTGTCACTGTTTAAATCCCAGCCTTTTTTCTATGAAAAAATTAATAAAAATATTGGATGTCAAAACTGTAATTTTTTTTAATACATTTATTTATGAGCTTTCACAGTTTTTGCTGTCTGGGAAGCATCCCCATTGACTTCAGTAGGGCCAGAATTTCACTCTCTTGTTAATTACTTATGTGGAGGTATCATTTGAAACCACTAGAAATATTGACGCAGGCTTTAAAGGGAGTTAGATTAAGTCCATGTGGCCTTAAGTGCTGTTAACATGTAATATTTACTCTTGCCCAGGATTTTAAACTTCTCAGCAAACAATTAACTGTTTCAAGACTTGTGGAAATACTTGTCAAAGGTGATCCCTCTCTACATCACAGCAGCAGTCCCAGCCTGGAGCCAGAGGTGTGTATGGAAAAAAACACATCATAGTTCACTGCTACAGGAACAATTAAAACTACTTTTACACAATACTGCAGATACTGTCTGATCTGCTAGAATAGGAGCAAAAGGAGAAATAATTTAAAAAAAAAAAAAATTACAAACTCGAGCCTCTGTGTTTGTCTGTTTTGCCTGTATCTTCTCGTTTAGCTCTTGTACTTCTATGTTTTTATTATCTTCTGTTATCTTACCCTTCTTTGTACAGTCTCTGCATACCTGAGCATACAGGTAACTCCTTAGGAGGGCTGTAACCCAGAGGGTGAAACACTGTTTGTAGGAGACTGCTGCTAGTGACAGTTCTGTCTGTGGGGCAGTTGCAGCTGCCAAGGCATGCACTGGAAATACTAAGATGGGTTAGTAATTAAGATGTGAACCCACTGATCCTGAAAATCTGGTGATCCAAGAGGCGTGGTAAGTGATGTGTGAAGTGCTGCCACCTCAGTGAGATCAATCAGCAACTGCACAAAGCTCTTGTGCTACCTGACAGCTGGCCTGCTGTAGAGGGAGGGCCTTCTCCCTGAAAGAGTTAGCTCTTACTCATTGTTGGCATAGAATAATAAAATTTCTGATTTTAAACAGTATCTGATAAAGTGAATACACAGTGTAAGTCTTACCAAAGGATTCATTATACACCCATTTTTTGAGTTTCTGGAGTTATCATATGCAATTAAATGTTTTACATAATAGCAATAGTGTGTTGTTTTCTTAGAGAAATATCTCATAGCTCTAGATAGAGCAAAAATCTATGCAGTATTTTATTTCAATATGACATGTATAAGGCGTAATACAGTGTATCACCTCATGAATTTTTTGAGTTTTGACTGTTTTCAGTTTTTCTTCAGAAGAAATAAATGTCTTACTAGATAAGGCTTCACAGACAATCACTTGAGTTCGTTGCTTGCTCAGGTAATGAAATGATTTTGCAAAAATGGGCTAATTAATCACTGTTGTTTTTTTACTCTAGTTGGTTTTTCTAGAATTTGTTGAAGCTCTTCTTGATTGTGCGTTGGTGTTTGTTACCAGTGATATGATTAAGGAGCAAGTAAATCATGATAATCAGAAAAGAAGTAGCTTTAGAATCCAGGATCACTCCAAGGGAACCACAAAGATGTCTCTGTACCCAGAATATTCTCTGTCCCAGGTAAAGTTGCTGCAGACCTGTTCAATATTATATGTCCACTTAGAGGGCGAAGTTGAGCCTTACAAATGTTCTGTGTTTCCTCAACATAGAAACCAATTTCCTCTGTATAAACTGTCATTTGATTGGGTTTTCCTGCTTTTTCAGTTCATTGGTACCTTAGATTGTAACATCAGCACAGACAGTTTTAATGCATTTGCACATTTTCCTAGTATTAATACATATAAAGTACTTGTGAGTCTTTTTGTCTTTGAAGGGGAATTGAGAAATTGATTGAGTGGTGGAAGATATGCCTCTCCTGCTTTAAGTCAAATATCAAACTGCCCTGTAAAAATGGCATTGCAATTGTCTGTAGCAAGACTTGCCATTTCTCAGCAGTTAAGCAATGCTCTTTTCTTTTTGCTGAACTTTTGAGTAAGGATTTTATAGGTAGGAATATGCTGTTCTGTGACTCTGGTGTAATTTAGACACACAGACTAGCTGAAGGCATGAATTACAATTGTTAATTATTTAGAATTATGCACAAGGTGAAAGTATTTTTATTAAGTCAGAGGATTCAGAAACGCCTAATTTCAGAGTCCCTGTAAGCCAGTAGTGCCACTGAACACCACCACTTCCCATGCTCTGGCCAGTTGTTCCCATCCTGCAGAGCCCATGTCCTTGCATCTCTGCAAGCATTAACACAGTTGCACAGTGCACGGTCCAGTTGAAATAGTCAGATTTTCCAAGACTGAAAGAAAAATCTTAAGATGTGCCACATGTAAAATTCTCCTTGTGTTTACTGTTCTTTAGTACACGGACAGCAGAAGTGTAATTGGCACAGACATAAATGGTGACATTTCTGAGGCAAGTGACCTTTATGCTTCCTCCTGGTTGTCTTCAAGCAAAAGTGTCCTATCACAAGGTGAAAAAAAGAAACACGAGGTATGTAAAAAAAACCCTGCACTGAAAGATGCAGCAGGGGGTTTGCAATTCATGGCTGACAGAGTAGCCAAGGCAGTTTTAAGTTTTAAAAGGGAATAGAATTTCATCTAATATTAAATATAGGGTGTTCCCATGCCTGGAGGCATGTATGAGCTACAAGTGGTGCATTTCCATTGCTAATGAAAGCATTTGCATTCACTAAGCTATCGTTATTTAGAATATTGGGTGGAATCTTCTACGTTAACTAAACCAGTGGTGAGCAAAGCTACAGTTTTATCTTTATTCACAAGGTGGGGAGTGAGAGGCTGAAAAGTGGGCAGAGAGATTTAGAAGCACCTATGGAGCTAACTGTAATATAAGGCCTGAAACACTTTGAGAATTCTTCCAGCAAACTTCTCACCTTCACTGCCTTTACATTTTTGTACCTAGTGTATGACTGACAAGATTCTCACTACTCAAAGAACAAGTATGTTCTGTTTGATCTCTGATTTTTAGCACGAGATAGTAAGGATTATTGTGTTGTACTGGAATCATGGAAATCAAAGAATTTGGAAATTTCCTGATTTTTAGAAAACAGAATTGTGTTTGACCTGAGTGTTTGTGAGATTTTTACTGTGACTTGTCTGAAAAGAGGGGTATCATCAGGCTGCAGAAGATGCTTGGGATGACAGTTGGAAAGATTTTAAAGCGTCCTTCTCAGATACACTCTTGAACGTTATTCTGTCCATTTTTACTCAGTAGAATTGTTGGAGTATATTCTTATAGTCAGGAATAGAAATTAATTATTGTTTCCTCAGGAGCAGATGAATATGTATGTAGAGCAACATGTAAGAGCAGAGACGTGTCTAAGAACAGGAGCATTCAATTTCTTCACCTCTGCCTTTCCCTAGCTCTGAAATAAGATAATCCTACCTCCCCTGGCTGGCAGAGGTGAAGTGCAGAATTAATTTGGTTAGCAGAATGCTTTGGAAATAGGAATTTGCGTGACTCAGGTGGACATGTGATTTCACTTATGAATTTGAGCACAAGTCCAGTCATGTAGTAACTTGAATTCAAAACTTCTTGCCAGCCAGTGAGACCTCATGAAGACAGAGGGCATTCTCCTCAAGAATCTTTACTGGGTGAGTACTTTAGTCACCATAAGCATCTATAAGCAGTGGTGCTGGAGGAGGTACATTCTTTGTACAGCTTTAAAGATTATTAAACCAGCAGCTGCTCATAGAAACAGCCAGATACATTGCAGTTAAATGGCAGCTGCACTCAGTTTGGCAATATGACAAGGTTTACGTTTAAACCTGCTGTACCTGCTATACACAGGTCTCTGGGCAAGCTTGAATCTCTGAACTTCTTGTGCCTTTTCATTAGAAGACATCACATCTTCCTTAAAAATAACTTAAATGCTTTTAAAAACTAAAATTCTTCCTGTACTGTCCCACTTACTTGGGCATGGAAGCAGCAGATAGATTGAACTCTGCACCAAGTAATTTTCTTCCTTTACAGTATCAGACACTGTCCTTTCACCACGGACAACTCAGGGAGTTATCAGAGATGTTCCGTTGTTATCCAGCTGGGAGGCAGAAAAAGATTTCTCTCCAGCAAAGGAATTGACAGGTAAAGCAGTCCTACTGTTCTAAGACTAACACAAAAAAATCCCTCATAGCTCTTGAATTGTGAGATTTTAATTGTATATGCAGATTTCAGCTTGTCACAAGAGGGCAGTAAATGAACATGAATTCTGGAGGAAGATTCTTAAAGAAAAATTTTTTAAGTAAACTGAAACTTCATAATTGAGACATTTAAGTACAGACTTAAGTAGTTTCACCAATTTTATAATGCCACATTTTATTTGTAGGCCATCTAAAAGCTGTAGTTTGTTTTTCCTCTATGAGAAGATTGATCTGCAAGCCTGCACATTTTTTTTTTTTTTTTTTTTTTTGTCTTGGATAAATAAAAAGATATTACTGCTATGTCTTGCTTTTTAAATTTAATATAAGAATTATTAATAATGGTGTGCCACTATTAGCTGGGTTAAGTTGTCTTATGTTATGACAGGCCAGCATCCATGCAGAAGAGAAATCAGTAAGAGCATTTTTGTATATTGAGGCTAGTAACCTTTTTATACCAGCCCCTTTCTGGCTGGTTAGCAGATCTCATCTAAGGTGCTTTTGGGGCTTGTTAAATCTTTTCTACAGGTAAAGAATCCAAATCCTAGAATACAGGTAGACAAGAAACTTCGTGTAGTCATCGGCTCTTTCACTAACATCTGATGACTGAGAAGTTACAGATCTGAAAAAACAATTCTTTCTTCAAGAAACAGCAGATGGGCCTTAGCCTATTTTTTGACAGTCACAACTGGATGCTTGCATGCAATTCTTTCAGGTAGTCATGTTTGTTCCTCCATTGCCTTATGCACAGAGGTCATGGATGCTGAACTGTCACCACATTACTGCAGAAGACATTTATCATGGGATTAAAGGGGAAAGTTCATATTCTTTTGATGCCATTCCCAGGGACAAGTGACTCTGAAGACCCATGACAGGGATCCCTTTCAAGTGGATCAGTTAAACATTTCTCACAGTTGTCATCTTCTGTACCATGCAAAATCCAGACTTTCCCATTGCAGAATATCAGATCTGCTACAAAACACATTGGAAAGGGAAGTGTCCTCTGAAATAAACACGTTTATTCTAAATGTTTCAGATGAACCAAAAGAAGCCAAAGCTGAACAAGATGAGGAATTTGGTCTGTGGCTGTGTCAGGTGCAAACCTTTTTTACAACTAAGTTATTTCCTGCCTACCAGCATGAAAAAGTGCTAAGGGCAAAAATAAAAGAAAATCGAAGACGAGATGCTGAATTAGCTGAGCTGAGCAAGACCAAGGATGAGGAGCTGTCTAAGTGAGTGTTTTATCTTCTACTAACAATGAAAATGAGAAGTGTGGTTTAAGTATTTTACTGTAACTGAGAAAACACTCATCCAGGTATAATATGCAACATATGGTATGTGACTTGTGACTTTTCTTACTGTTGGGAGTAACAAATGAAGGCTGCTTTGTGGTCTCAGAACCCTTAAAACTGGTATTTGTTGGCAGTTGAGCCTTGTTCTGGGTAAAGGCAGCTAAGACTTTTTTTTACAATACTACACGTCCAGACTTGGAAGTGGTAACTAAAGATTTTCTGCTTCTCTAAGATATGACAGTTTATAATGCTTATACTGTGAATACAGCTGTAGTTGTTTAGTCTACATATAAGTCTGTCTCCTGCCTTCTTGTAGTACACTAAATTTAAACTTTGTTCACTCAGACTTATTGCTGTAAGAGATGAAAAGGCAAAAAGGCAAGAAGCAGCTGCAGCAGAAAAAACATGTGACTCCAAGAGTACAGATCTTAAGGAGTTAAAGGAGCCTGTCACACAGTTAGTACCCCCTCCAAAGGAAGAGACACCTGTTGTAGCAGCCCCAGTTGCCTCCAAGGTGCCTGCTGGCAGAAAGAGAAGAAAGAAATAAGTCTTCTGCTACTGAAGCTTCAAGTATGTACTCCTTGAATAGGAAATAAATAGAACCATACCTGCAGTAAGATCTAAAATAAAAATGATTAAACTTTATGCACAAGACTTGCTGGTTTCAGAGGGGAACTGTCTGCTCTTCCATCAAGGGTCTTGAGGAGAATACAGGAACTTAGGTGAGCAAACCCCTTGAAACAGAAGTATTCCCAAAGTCAGTATTTCACTTGTACCTAAAACTTCCCTCAGTGTTGATACAATCATGACAAGGTATCAGTTCTTTTATCTCCCACTGAAATGGTTTCTGCTTAAAACATTGTTGTTTATATGCAGTACTTCAGTCAAACTAGAAGAATTTGACAGAGAATGTAGATCAGTCTGAAGCGGGCACAGGAAAGAACAGGTCCACCTGGAAAGTTTTGTTCAGGGGTCTTTTGTAACCAGTCTAACTTCAAATTGTAGAAAATTAGCAGAAACTGACATGATGATGCAAATGAACACATGAAAACAAGAAGATGCCCTTAAAAGTGTAACAATTATTAGTTTTATTTTCCAGTAAAATATTCACATAATGGTATCAGAATGGAATGGTACAGGTGAATTCAGACTGGTTTTTATTAGTTTGGACATAAACATTTTTAAAATCTAAAAATTTTATGATCAGTGTTTACAGATTTTAGTAGAAATTTTGATTCTTACAAAGCAAGTATTGCTTTACTATTGTCATTATTCCAGTCAATAATATGACTAATAACTTCTCACGTTGAACAAGTGTCTGACATTGACATCTTCAATAAATCAGCCCTTTGCAGATCAATCCAAGAAGAAAATATTATTAAACTGTGTTGCACAAAGTTTCTTCACTTCTTCTGTAAAAAAAATAAAAAGAAGGTATTTCAGTATGATGTGTTATCTCCACAAGAAAATGCTACAGATCATCAAGGAGACTATAACTGAATTCAAATAGAAAAAACCCTACACACTTTGTTATTCTGTCTTCAGCCTTGACTCAGTGTTCTCTTACTGATGTTTTACACTGTCTGAAAGATGAGTTGCATTCTAAGTGGCTGCAGTGTCAGTGATGGTTTGAGTTTGCTGCTTGGCCATTCATCTTGTCAAACTTTTATACTGCAGCAACACAAGACTTAGCTTTCAACACTAGGAAGTCTACTGTAACCCCTGTTCAGGGGAAGGGGGGATTAGGGGAGTCTGTTACAATAAACCAAGTCAGCAAAACTTCTGCTTTGTGCTGTTTAGTAGACAACAAATCTATCAGGCACAGGAACACTCGCTTACTGTTTCTGTATGGCAGGTTTGATCCTGAAAGAGAACTAGAAATTACTGTGACTGGTCACTGCAACTCCTTTCTCTTCTTAAAATTTAGGTTGCTCTTGGAAAGTATTAATTCTTTCCTATCATTCCAGTGAGCACATTGCCTCCTATTAAAACAGAGCCCTGAAATTGTTCCAAGTAGGACTCAAACTGCCATTTCTCTTAAAGATACAGTTTGTCAACTTGCACTCTTAAGTCATAGTAAATCAGTCTTAAAAAAGGATGAGAAACAGGACAACAATGGAATGAGGATCACTGACAGGATAGACATTATGTACAAGTAACCTACCCATGGATCACTGACAAATAAAGCCTAACTCAGTTGTAAATATGTTCATCTCCCAACTGTAGTACACTTCATTAATTACTCCTGAGCTAAGCTCACAGATCTCTATTACTTGCAGGAGGAGTAATGACTGCTTAATAATTAAGAATGTCTGCTGAATATTTATGCTGTTCTTTCAGAGCTGGTAGAAGGCAGACTAAAACCTTATGCAGACTTACCCGGTGTAGCATAGATGAAGCCCTCTCTAGATTTCTTGGGAGAAGGACATATTCATTTTAAATAGGACATACATTGTAGTAGTAACTGTATTAAAGGTAATAAAAAGCAATCCTTACCATTAACTTCAATCAGATTTGCATTTTTTTGGTTCAGAATAACGTACAGTTCTCGCTGGTCAGACTTCTTCCCAACTACCCAGTAATCGCTCATGGCCTTCACAATAATTTCCTCATCTTCATCAACTCTGAAAGACGTTTTAGAAAGTAAAGAAGGTGGCAGCAAGTTCATCTTCAACAACTTTATTTGTAAATGTTAGGACAGCTTTGACAGAAAATTGTTGTGCAGTATCAAAGAGACTGCCAATACTAATTTCAACATAATTCAGCTATCCAGGATGAAAGCTTCATAAGTGGCTGCTGAGGAGAATTACTTATTTATCTGGAAATGTAACTAATTTGTCCATCAGCCAAACACTCCAGTGCTCTGAGGAAAACACCTGTCTTCCACACGGTTAAGGACACGCTTTGTGGAATGATGACTTGCTACACAGTGACCAAATAATGAGAGTCGGAGAGGGTGTGGTGATACCAAGCTTTCACACTTTCAGTTATTAAACCTAGAACTAAACCGTGCCCAACAACAAGACATACTTCATAAAGCTATTACTGGGGACTTCCACAGTATGATGAAACACTTTCTTTTATTTATAGAAAAATAAAAACCTTGTCCTTAAGCAGAGTGGGAAAATTGCTAGTTGCTAATTAAGAGTTATAGACATCACAGTTATTAAAGAACATGAAAGTGCTGAATGATGTTTATAGCAAGAGAGGGTCTCTCACACCTTGAATCATGATACTCAGAGGCAAGAAGACAGTTATCTTCTCTGTCAGCACTACTGTAGTAACTGCAAGGTTTGCATTTCATCTATTGTCTAATCCCTAAGAGCAGACAGCTGCTTCAGAGGAGGGTATAACGCAGGCGGAAGCAGGTTTCCCTGTCCTTCACACTACTTAGCCAGAGATCAGACAGACTTAAGCACAGAAGCACAAGGCTTCATGTCCCTTTTAAGTTTGTTACGGCTACTCTGAAGTGTCAAATGGAGTAGATATTTTCTTGGATAGAGGCCCTGGCACTTCTGTTGTCCTTTAAATTATTTTTTTAAAAGAAGTTTTGTTCAAGACAGACTACTTCTAAACCAGCAAAAAATAACTGACCCATGTTACACCTATCTCACACAGCTATGAATAGCCAGCCATGAGCAAAAAGACATGAAAGCTCCACTCATTTGAAAAAAAAAAAAACAACTACTTGATAGGAGGAGTTACAAGGACTATTAAATAGTTAAGCATTACCTGGAGAAGTCACTGTTGATGTCACCGAGAATCTTCATGAGGTCAGGGTGAACAGATGCAAGTGATACACTGGGTGTTTTCCTCATGTGAATGGTACTCTTCTCTGCCAGGTTCATGTGATTGAAATAGATAAACTTAAACTGAGGCTCCTTCTCAGCCCTAGAAAGATTGTGGGAAAAAAAAAAAACAAACCCACAAACCTGTGACTTGCATATGCAGACACGTTTGATAAGCACAGGCTTCCCAGAGAACAGGTAACTAGCCAGTGCAAAGCTTACTCTGACATACTGAAGGCACCTCCACACTGAAGAGAACCAAGTACGTTAAGACTCGTGGCAAGATTAAACTTGATTTTAATACACTTAAAAAAAGCAAGCCTGCAAAACCAGATAGTTTTTCCCCTTCTGCTGGTTAGGCTGCTAGTAAATAGATACAGAGGACTCTAAAGGCCTTATGCCACTTCCTAGTAGCTGGTTTACATTTTTCTAATGAGTTCGTTTTTCTCTGTCCCCATTTTGTTTCCTTGCTGCTCTCCCGTGTGCCAGTCCACCTTGATGCTAGGTCTTTAATTTGATCAATAAGTAATCTTCTGCTTGCATGTTTGTTATTTGTTACAATCAAAAGAAAGAATTCTTTGATCCAGGCAGCTATAATTCTCCCTATCATTTGTGTGGGCCAAGCAAAAGACTATTTTCAAACTCCTGCCTTAGCCGTCTTCCTCAATTTTCTTTTATCAAGTTAATATAAAATCTTCACTTAGAGCTGTAGTTTTGTTTGAAGTCACAACAAATTCAGACCAGCAAAAACTGGCTACAGCAATTTGTATTTGAGGTTATCTATTATTTAGAGTTCGGGAGATACTGTGATGACACCACTCAGCTTAGCAAACAACCAGATACCCTTGCTCTCTGTCACCCAGATGAATTAGTCAAGAAACTGTATCATGTTTTCAGGACACCATGGCATTAAACTTTAAAAGAGTTAAAGCTGCCAAAGCCAGTCCCAGATGACATTAAAAAACCCCAAGTTTAATGATTTAGTAGATCGGCACAATTTCAAGCACATCCTATTCCATACTCTGTGATTCTGCTGATTTAGCATGCTACCACTAAGTAAGTTCAGTCACACACCTATCTTGGATCTAAGTCCTCTTTTGTTGTCACATGTGATGCTGTTCTTGCTTCCCCAACAACAAAAAAAAAAATCTAAAACCAAATACAATTTTATGGAGAGTCAACTACAGTTCTGAGGTACGTTTTCTAAAGCATTAACATTCCTTTTCATTTGACTTTTTTCTTTTCCCCCTCAGGTAGTTACATTAGTCCTGCAAAAGAGAACAAACAAAACTGTTTTTTTCCTCACCTACCATACACAGCAACACTTCAAGAACCAGTAATTCTGGAGAAAAGTACTCAGCTGCAAAGCTTGCATTGTAACCGAATAATCCACTCACTGAAATTCCCACTTCAAACTCTTCAACAAAAGTTCTAGTATCTAGACATTCATTTTCCTTTTGAATTTGTAGCAGTGGAGAGTTACATACAGTCTAAGGCAAAACTCAGAGGTGAGTGACGTCAGTGCCCACTTGAGGTGAAAAACACAGTTCTTTAGACATTATACAAAACAGCAGCCTAGGAAAGCAGAAATCAAAGGAAACCAGCACAAAGAAGGATGTGGGCACAAAGACAGTGATATTTAAAAAATTTTTCCAAAACCGTCGAATATTCTACTAGGCCAAAGGCTATTTGTGAACAAGATGAGATTGTTATCCTCAAGAAAAGCGAGGAAGCATAAACTGAAGTTAAGGTTTGGCAG